CAACTCCCAGAATTCCCCAGCCAGCTCTCGCTGGCTGGGGGATTCTGGGAGTTGAAGTCCACAGGACTTAAAGTCGCCAAGGTTGAGAAACACTGTTCTAGACCTTTTATTATTATAAAGGACAGTCCTTTATTTGAAAAAAGCTGTCTTCTACATTTATTTTTTTCAAAAACTCACTTTCGCCCTTCATTTTGGTCATGTAACTTTTTCTGTACATACAGTACCGCTTAATGCACATTCTCACATCCATGGAATGTGAAAAATATGGACACTCACACACACAACACACAAACACTCAAGCTACGAAGTAAGCAAAGGATGAATAATAGCTGTTGCTAAATCTGACTGGCTTTGAAACCAACTGGCAAGCTAGACACAATTGTGCAAAGATGTTTCTCGTCACAGCTGCCACCTTAGAATCCAGGGACGGCTGAGGATCCAGAGTATTGCCAGACTTAAAAAGTAAAATTAATGGATTATCATAGCTTGTTCTTTAATTATGAATCATAGCCGAAGAGTAAATTATGTGGCCTGAAGATTCTCCCATGAGTAATCCTTTATCATAATGTTTAATCTATTTGAAACAGGCCAAAAACATTCACTGCCTTTTTACAACTATAATCAGAGGAGATATACTTGGCCTGAACACTCTGCTTTAAATAGAGGCATTTGGACTGAGTCATACTAAATTAAAGGGCTAGTAAATCAGATCTTTAAAATCACACACACACACAAATTATCCTAGAAACATCCTGATGTGCACATTAAGTTCACTTGGATGCTACATGCAATAGGAATAACATTTATCGTTCACAAGAACTACCAGTTTTGCATCACTTATACAACCTCACATCTGATCCTATCAGGCACCAGAAACTGCAGGCATTAAAAGGATTTAGATTTAATCCTTTGTTCTGGTGAAATTCTTACTTGGTTCACTACATGATGTTCCTCATAAAAGCTTCCCAGTATGAGAGGCTGATCTGCAATTTTTGCATCAATCAGGAGACAGATGGCTATGGGAATGACTGGATGTGCTTTTTTCCTAAGATTCATGTCTGAAAATTATGGCTCAGGATCACCTTCCTCCCCCAGATGAGCCCCAGTTCTTGAATAATAGAGCCAGTGTAAGCAAGGAGAATACAATGAAACAAAGAGAACATTTTTATTTTGACATAAATTCCCAGGTAAATGAACTGGCCTCTGTGTCTGTGTCTTTGTGTGTGTGTGTGTGTGAGTGTGTGTGTGTGTGTGTGTGTGTGTGTGTGTGTGTGTAATACAAACCTGATATCAACACGTATTACTCTGGTTTGCAGAAAAGTTAAACCAATATATTACTTTTACCTGTTGTGATCTTAAAATTGCAGCATCAATTTCTTCCACTTTTTGATTTAAAGTGTCACTCATTAACCGGTATCGTTCATTGTCTTCGGTAACCATTTTATCTATCCCTTCCCTGGCTCTCCATGGCACCAGTTCCAACAAAGAACTACTGACTTCATTGAGATGGTCCAATAAACTTTTCTTATCCTTTACTTCTTTTTTCAGTTCCTAAAAAAGAATATTTGAAATAAACATTCTGGCAAAAAAAAATCTACGCGATACTCTTCCCCCTTCATTTGTTAAGGTTACTATAAGAAAGATTATATGCTGAATATATATTTAGGGATGCTGGGGAAACATTATTGATCAGCACTATGCTGATGATGCTACTCCGATACTGAAAATGATCTGCAAAGTCAGGAACCAAAAGTCAAGAATTATTATGTGTGGATAATCTACAGTTAAATTAACAGTCTAAGATTGGTAGAAACTTAATAATTCAAGTCCTAACCAACAATCTAAGAATTATTAAGGAAGCATCTAAAATATAGGCAGCGCCAAACAAGGTGGTTTTTTGTAAACTTTGAGTGTTCAAGTCTGATAAACAAACGTTTCCAGATATCAAGAAAAGTCCATTGTATATTGCTCCAAGGGCTTCAGTCATGATTGGTTCAGATTTCTTTTTCCATGAAGTTTTCAACTTCAATCTGCAAGTCCTCCTAATATTTTATGATTTCNCTCACTTAGCGGCTGAAATTGTAGGCTCAATTGTGGTCACAAGTTGAAGGCTACTTGTCGCAAATCGGAGAGAAAGATACAATAAAGGTGTCAAAACTGCACGGCCCTAATTATTTTAAAAATTGTGTGATTTTGTGTATGGCATTGCTCTTGATTTTTGGAATCAATGGCACCTTCAAAGATGCTCGCAACCTGACCCAAATGATTGAGAATCTCCACAGAGACCTTACCCGATGTTCTTCTTGCTGCTGCCTCAGAGTTTCATATTCAAGAGCTGGTGCTGGAAGCTGTGAGATGATGGTCTCGGTTTCAGTTAGCCATGGCCAAATCTCTTCATAGGTCTCCCAAAACTGGCTCACTAGAGACTGCGCCCGTTCTAGTTGCAGGTTTCTCTTGGAGTTCATTTGACAGAGCATATCGTATTTATGCAGGAGAGTCTCCAGTTTGTTCTGTAAACAAAGTTATCATGTAACCACAGCATGTATAGATTTTAATTCGGCAAACGATTTGTACACCGTTATTAACTGGTTGATCAAGTTCATAGCCTGCTGTTCTAGCCATATAACACTTACGATGGTTTGGCAATTGATAATTATAGAACATAAGAACAGAGAAAATCCAATCCACAATTAAAAAATTGGTGAAACAGATGGGCTTTCATTATTTTCCTAAATATTGGGAGAGTGGGGGGGGGGCAAATACATCTAGTCTTAAGAAGGCCCTCTTGCCCATATGAAACAGTTTGGCCTCTGACGGCAGTCGAATCTTCAAAAGGACATCTCCACATCTATTGTAGATCTTTTTTAAATTATTATGATCAGAGTGAGAAATTAGAAAATTAAGGAATCACAGATTTATTCAACCTTGGTTTAATTTCCCCCTTTGGTAGGATAGGAAGCCACCAGAGTCACCTCGTGGTGAGATGGGTGGTAAACCGATTAAATAAAATAAATAAAAAATGAATAAAAATTCCAATCCTATTTTTAATAAAATAGGATTTTGCTCGTTTGTTTAGTATTTGATAGTATTTCTCTTACCTACTTATCCACAAGAGACTTGAAAAATGGTATGCTCGATACATATATATCTATCATCACAGCAAGTGTATAGTCTTACTTTCATTAAAACGAACGAATGAACAAACAAACTAACTAACAGAAAGGTAGGAATGGATAAGAAGGAAGCACAACCGGGAAGTATGAAATAACGGGAAGATTAAAGATGTGATGTATCCTGGCAGGAAATGAACAGGCAACCCTTTATGGAGAAGACTATTCTGTAAATGGGTTTAGGCAAACTTCTTGAAACCAACCTTAACTTAAACTTTATTTTCAATGGGCCAAAGAGTTTCTTCTATGTCCAGAAGGCTTTACATTCAGCAGAATATTCCAAATAACATATCAGATAACACTGCATTTTTTTAAAAATCAGGTCCTCTCTGCAATTCTCATTTCCCTCAAGTATCTAATCTAGAAGGCCCTGGGTTCCTCAGTGTGGGAGATGGCACTGCAGATGGTAATTAGTGAAAATGAATGACGTTTTCACACTAGCTGAATACCCTAAGAAGAATTATGCTGAAAGAGTACACCCTTACTGTTGTGGCCCAGCAGGAGCCGTTGGAGCTGCGAGGGGCCCTATGAGTCGGCCCTGGAGGATGTGGAGGACCCTGGACAGGGTTCCGACTACGAGCAGGGTGCAGAGAGGCTGGTTGGCCACCAGGGGGCGCATGAGCCTTGGACCAGTGGGGAGGAGACAAGAGAGAGTGATCCAGAAACCACCTGTGAGTTGCTCCAGGATGCACGCCGTCGAAGGGCTACTCGGCGTCAAGGACAACTACGTAATTACAGGAGGTAATTACGCTCACCTGATGGTCATTAAGCTCCTCTGAAGACTATAAAAGAGACTGCTTGTGCCACGCCCTTCTTGCAGAAGTCAACATTTGGGATAAAGAGAAACGAACTTGGCAGGCTGGGTTGCTGCCAGAGTTAGTCTGAATTGCTGCCAAGGTTTGTCGGATTTGCTGCCAAGGTCCTTATCTGTTTGTTTATTTCGCTTTCAGCCACCGAGATTCTGGTCTTGTTATTAAAGGACATTCCATTTTACGCTTGTCTTGGCTTTCGTTACTGGATGGAGGAAGGGGGTCAGAACAGAGACTAATGATGAATAGACAAATGTTAAATAGCAACTATAAAAATGTATACGTGTGAATGAACTTAAATGGGAAAAATAAAAATAAAAACTTTTTAAAATAAAGATCACCAGCAAAAGCTCCTTCATTTCATCCCCCATAGGGAAAACATCCTGCAGGAAGTTGGATGGATAAATGAGCATCAGTCCAAAG